TCAATGCTTAGTATTCTTTTTTCAAATCTTGTCCAGCTGAAACAACTTGCAAATGCTCCGATTACTGTCCCCATTGCACCGTATACTTAAAAGTTACTCTACTGCAAGGCCAGAATGTGTTCCAATCATCGGTTTGGAGGTTCATGCGCAGTTAACAAGTGCTCGCTCCAAGCTCTTTTCTCCTGCACACTATTCATTTGCTGCACCACCAAACTCTCAAGTGGCTCCTCTTGATGCCGCTCTCCCTGGCTCCATGCCCGTGAGTCATTCTTTCGAACATCTACGCCCCTCCAACCCTATCGTCTGCCCTTTCTGACTTCAGGTACTGAATCGCGACTGTGTTGTGTGGGCAATAGTGGCCGCGCTTGCTCTAAATTGTCGCATCAATCTTCTCTCAAGGTTTGATCGTAAACACTACTTTTATTTCGACTCGCCTGCCGGCTATCAGATCACGCAGCATGCACAACCCATAGCCGAAGATGGCTGGCTGGAATACATATGGAAACCGCCAGATATCAAATCCCCTCCACAAGTTAGCAAAGCTAAAATCAGGCGAATTCAACTGGAGCAGGATACAGGAAAGAGTCTTCGCGATCAAAAAACCGGGCGAAGTCTTATTGATCTCAATAGGGCTGGTAAATGCTCAATTTCGAATGCTCACTCAACATTATTGCTGTTTTTTAATGATAGGTGTAGCTCTAATTGAGATTGTAACAGATCCGGACTTCAACACGAGTTATCAAGCTGCAGCGTTTGTGAATGAACTTTCAACACTATTGCATCATCTTCGAGTATGTTCGGCCAATATGTCGACTGGAGAACTGCGGGTAGATATTAACGTCTCAGTCGGAATTTCCAGCTCCCAACAGGGATCTGTGGTAGAGGTGAAGAATGTCAACAGTCTTCGTGCCATTCGTTATGCTATTGGTAGGGTTACTAATTATCATATTCTTGGCCTTCTTGGTCAACTGTTAAGGCTTACCAAACCTCGATTTGGCGTTATTCCTGTATCTTCATCTCTTTTAGACTACGAGATTTTTCGACAATGTAGGATTTTTCGTTCTGGAGGAGCCATCATCAACGAGACACGCTGTTTCGATCCAGTTAGCAAGTAAGTCCTTTTCCAGGCTTCTTTGGTGCCCTATATTGACCCATTATGGAATATTTTGTTGTGGACAGTAAAACTATGCCAATGCGTGATAAGGAAGTGGTTCAGGACTATCGCTTTTTACCGGA